CACAGGCAGTATGAGGAAAATAAAGCACTTTTTGAACATTAAAGCATGTCATAGTAGAGGCTCAAAATACAAATATTAACCTGAAAATGAGAACAACAGGGCCCGACTAAAGTGGCTTTGAATTTATATTTAATCACTGGATAAGAATGGAATTGTTCTGCCCAGGAAATCATATTTTCATAACTGCACTGGGAACACAGATATCTTACAGGTGTGACCCTGACGCTGAGCTTCAGTCTGGGTATGAGCATTCCCTGTATGGGTACATGTTTTAGTTCTTACCTTCACTGAGTTTCCCGCAGAAGGGGCAGTAAAACCTCTGACCACAGTCCTGCCAGCCCATCGCCGGGCACATGGAGGCTCCGCAACAACCACAATTTGAAACACACTCTGGCTCTTTGCACACAGGCAGGGGCTTGAAGAGGCAACACACACACACACACACACACACACACACACACACACACACACACACACACACACACACACACACACACACACACACACACACACACACACACACAAACAAAAAACATATTTTAACCTTCACAGAAGCTTCACATATGTAAATTGTGGCATTAGCTTCACATTTCTCTAGATATAATTATGAGTAACTATGATTGCTGTTATTTTTCCTATATCGTTTTTAAGAGATTACTGACCTCTCCATCATTTTGCTTGGCTAGAGGGGTGACCAGAGCTCCCAGCGGCAGACGGCTGAGCAGAGCAGTCTGAGCATCACAGGGCATACAGTACGACGCAGAGCGGATGGCTAAAGGACTCGCGTTACCTAGAGATCAACAGAGACACGGTCCAGAATTACATGAAGGTTGGTTTGGACACACAAAATGGAGACAGGAAGACGAGAACGGGGAAAACGCCCAAACTTTAAAGTATCATATTTGTAATAATAACTAAATCGGAGTCCTTCACAAAAAAACATACGCTATAATGACTTTAAAATTAAATTAAAACTCTAATTTAACTACCTGCAGATATTATTGTCATAATCCTTTCATCAGTATGTCCAAAATATTTCTGATAACTGGAATCAGTGTTTCCCCTACCATTGTCTTGGAGGGGCGCCCCGCCAACGGAGCCCCGTGCCCCCCCTGAAATTCAAGGTGTTAAAAAAAACGGCACCAAATTGCAACCAATCTATATCTACTGTCACTTTTCACATTGAACAAGTGCTCTTTTATTAAATAAACTAAACGCTTTCATTTTAATTTGTGAGTGTAGTGTTTATGACCCTAAGAAACACAAATGCATTAATTAGTATAGCGAGCACACACTATTATAACTATTACAAACCGTTTCATACACTAGATGTTTTCCAAGGTTGATCCCATTTTTCTTCAATTAAATATGTTTATGTTCAGATTTTTTCTAGTCGCCTCCATCAATAATACATGGTATAATTTAGACAGAAAATTCTCTGTGCAAAGCAGATTACATTTCAGTGATGTGGATGCCAGATTAGGAAGCCATTTTTACCCAGCTGTACATACAGGGTAAAAAACAACAAAGATACAGTGTTGTGTGTGTTTACCTCTGTCCTCTATGATACAGGAGGTAGTTGCCAGAGGAGGTAGACGGGAAAAGGGCTCTGAGACGAAGACCTTACCCTCCCACTCTGCACTGTCATCTGCGATCACCTTCACCTGGGAAACAGCGATAGAGAAAGAGACAGGGGTGCAACCTTATCAACCTGCAAGACTGTGAATACAGATCACTACGCTCAAACAGGGGCAGGATCTTTTATAAAACATCTTACAAGTAGTAGTTTTGCGGCTCTTACTTTAAGTTAAAAATAATAATGATTGGAAAAAGTTAGAAGTCAAGTATTGGACTCTTTATTTGCGTTTTTTTCTTAAAGATGTACCATAAAAGGAAGCACACATCGGCAGCGGATGGCACTTTGATGAGGGCTTCATCATGCTGCCAGTGTGTGTAGCCAAGTTGCTCAGTTTGCATGAAGCCAAAAATGGACTGACATCAGAAAATAAAAAGTATCTGGATCATTCAGGGACTGAGGTCAATAGAGCACCATAATGATTTGATTATGTGCTATAAAATTGTTCATAGTGGGTTGTTGATTTAGCTCAACAAAAAAATTATACACATATTTACATAAGTATGTCTATCTTCCAATTTAAATCAATGGGAAAAAAGTATTTTTGGGACCAAATGACGTCATTGACTAGAACGTAGTGATGTAGGCAAATTTGCTTCCACGCCCAGCACACTTCCTTGGGGCTTGGTGTATCGCTTAATTAAGCCCCATGGACCCCCCCGGCGGGTCCTTTTTTTTTTTTTTTTCACAACACTGTGTCTCAGGGCATTTTAATATTTAAGAACCTATTGATGTGTTATACCAGATTAATAGGAATAATCTCAGCTAATTGACGATACAAACCATTTTTACCAAAACAAAACACAAGTCTCATAAGAAGCATCTAAATGACCAGAGCGAAAAATGCTAACGCACTTTGGCACAGAACTCAAGATAAAAGATACCCTTATTACTTATCGTAGCTGCACATACAATATATCCCATTAAAGCTGAGGTTCCACAGATTATTTAGGTATATAGTATCATCACTGAGTGATCCGAACTTGCGACAGGGGAGACAAAGACAGACATCGATTATAGGGCGACTGTGGCTGTGAGGGAGTGTGGTCGTCTTTCAACCAGAAGGTTGTGGGTTCGATCNAAAGATACCCATATTACTTATCGTAGCTGCACATACAACATATCCGATTAAAGCTGAGGTTCCACAGATTATTTAGGTATATATATCATCACTGAGTGATCCGAACTTGCGACAGGGGAAGCAAACACAGACATCACAACACGTACCTTTACGTAGCTTTTACGGGAGATCCTCTCACCGTAGCTGTCAATCTGATTAAAATACTTGTTCAATGGCATTACAATGAGAAAAAACGCGACTGAATCGGTTAATCCATAGGTTGATAATGTTTTTTTATGTTTAAAGAGGTCAAATTTCACTTGTTTTGCATCAATCTTGATACAGGGTACTTATTATATGTTGCAGTTTGGATTCCTAAAGCTTTTAATTTACCATCCCATCATTCAAGGGTGGTTTTCACTATAAGTAATTTTTTCTTTTGGACGGACACAATAATTTACATTTTTTTACTTTGTTCAATCTGAATTTACTTTAAAATAAAAACATCTATATTGATTCTGACACTTCTACATCCAACTCACAGGTTTTTCATTACTTTGAGAAAAAAGATTATTAATTTAACTCTTTTAGAAGGGAAGATATGGTCATTTGTTCTGGGAAAGTCATTTTTGAGCCTGAGACCTGAAAAACAGGCTCGGGGCTAAGCAGGAGGCGCAAACGCTTGCCTCGGGGAGCTAGAAAAAGGGCCACAGCGGAGAATAAATATAAGGGCAACCATGGCAACCATGCGCGGGAAGTCTTCTTCGCTACTTTTGTGGGCGTGTCTTGAGCTTGGGGAGTTTACGCCAGCAACGCCAGCAACGCGACCAACAACCAATCACATGAATCTCTCCTGTCAATTGCATAAAAGGTTTTACATGCCCCTGCTTTATATGATGAACATTTATGACATTAATTTCTATGGTGCTATTTTACGCAACATTCCATGCTGGCTAAATACTGTCTATGCCTGCTAGCTGTCCATTCAAACGAAGTACACTGGATATAAACTCCCCAAACAGGCGAAAACCTACCAGTTTCACCCACTGTCTCTGCCACCTCCCTCCATGCCTGGCTCCTCCGGTTTGTATCCCGGTAGGTGAACAGGGACTGATCATAAAGCACCGGGTGATCCCCTACCGCTACGATTATTTTCTCCTCCAAATTAGAAAGGTAGCCTGGCTGACAGTTACAACATTATGTAGCCAGCTAGCTGAAAAAACCAACAGTAGCACACAACATTATATGCCAAGATATACACCATACATACCCCACACCCTGCAGAACCTCCATAACATGTACAGATTTTGTTGAGGCGTAGAACGGAAGAAGAGTAAGTTATTTTTACCTGTAATAAACTACTACTGTGTTTGATGAAAAATCAAATCATGGTTTGCTATATATGAATGATATGTTATAGGAGCAAATAATTCAGGGAAGAAAGGCTACTAAGTATTTCCATCAAACTTTATTTTTAGAAATCCTGAATTATTTGCTCCTATAACATATCATTCATATATAGCAAACCATGATTTGNCATTATAGAAGTTTATAGAAAAGTACAAATTTATAGTATTCTACAGAATGATCTATAGATTTCTACAGATATGTCATGAGTCGGTTCTGTCCTATAGAATTCTTTAGATTGTTATAGTTTTAATTATAGAAGTTTATAGAAAAGTAGAAATGTATAGTATTCTACAGAATGATCTAGAGATTTCTACAGTATTCTATAGAATTCTTTAGCTTGGCGACTATGTTCTATAACATGCTATAGATTTCTACAAGATTTTATAGATTTCTACAAGATTCTATAGGATTCTATAGGATTTTATAGATTTTTTTGCTAAGGGTTGCCACATCAATTCTGAAGAACTCTACCCCAGACCCATGTATTTAGATAGTTCAGAGAGAATAATCAACATGCTGCATAACAAGATAGAATCATAACACCTCTATCAGCTGACGCCAACAGGCAGGAACATAGAACCATAACACTGAGAGCACAGCAGCCAAGGTTACAGGTGCGTGTGCTCAGTCAGGACAGTTTGAACTGATAAACTGGGTCAAAGTTATGGACCTTGGAAAATATTTCCCCAACAACTATTAGTGTGAAATAAATGTAGCAGGTAAAAAGTCCAATATTTCTTTCAAAAATGTAGAGGAGTAAATGTCTAAAGTAGCATTAAACTCAAGTACAATTATCTCTATACAATACTTGAGTATAGTACTTGAGTAAAACTACTTAAATAATTTCCACCACTGGGTATTGCTTCCTTTGTTGGTATAGGATGTGATTTTATTCTCAAACTATCTTTATTGATTCATTTAAAAAATAAAATGTCACTTAATATTGTGGAGATGACGCTCTTACTCTGAAAAACCAAGCAGAAGTGCTTGCAGGGCTGTGAGGTAAACAAACCACCGGAAGCCATTTGATGTTAGCCCAGACATGGCACTGGTTTTCAAGCATTTTTACTCAAAATGACAGGTATGTTAAGCAGGTAGTATTTTTCAGTGTGTTAATTTTGGTGTCGTTTTCAGTTCTATGAATTATTCGAGATTTTCACAGTTTTATCGAGCCAACACCAGTTTAGCTAACAGCTAGCTAATCTATGTAGCTAAAGAAAGGAAGAAATCGGAAACCACGCTAAGCTACACTTCTTCGACATGAACATGACTACAATCATTTAGTTATAGGTGGACAACCCCTACTATGACTATACATGTTAGGTTATTTTGTGCATACTAGTTAGCTACTTTCCTATTTATTTTGCTGGTGAATTGTGTGTTAATGTTTTCCACTGGTGTAATGTAGTGAAGTACATTTACTCAAGTATTGCACTTAAGTAGGTTTTTTGGGGTACTTTTACTTCACTTAAGTAATTTTGATTTAATGCTACTTTAAACTTCTACTCCACTACAATTTGGCAGCCAATATTGTACTCTTTACTCTACTACATTTATTTGACAAAATACGTTTCTAATTACTTTACAGATAACTAATAGATAAACTATGCTATATAAGTATACGATAAGATGTGCAGAAGCAGTATATCAAGTAATATACAAAGTAGCTCCACCTTTACCAGCTGTGATAAACACATTAAGCATAAAAGAAAGTCACTTTATATATATATATATATATATATATATGTACATATATATGATTCTTAAATGGGATATTATGCACAATAAGTACTTTTGTTTTTTTGATGCCAATACAACATTTTAAATGCAAGACCTTTACTTGTAACAAATATTTTTTACACTGTAAAACTTGTGAAAAACTTCCTATTTGCCTATCTAGGCACCACAAGAGGTAAGTGACACAAACATTGTTAAAAAAAACTCAAAGTTTGTTAAAGCCCCTCTTCACCTCTAATTGATGTAATGGAAATTGCTGTGTAGCCGTGGCAATACAACGTGTGAACAATAAAAAGTGCCCATCTCTGAGATAACAAAAATACATACACTGCTTAATCAAGTATGGATCAGGTAACAGTATGGATCCAAAAATATGAACACACTAGGTTACATTTCTCAATGTCCCATTTTTTGTTGCATTATATGTCCCGTGAGGGAGTTGTTTTTGTTACTTTGCTTCAGCAGAATGACGTATACCCAGACTTTGACATTTATCTCCTAGAGTTTCTCAGTGCTCACCTAAAATATACAGCCGCATACACCATGAAAGTACTTTTCAGTAGGTAAGAGACATCTTAAGTAGTTAAACTGAAGTTATTTTGACAAGATAGTTACTGAATTAATCATTTTGTGTTTTATCTTGTGAAATGTGAGGATTGTTTTGTTGTTATATTTCCTATTCTGATAATATAGTATCTTTCTGTATAAATAAGTAATTTGAAAGCTCCCTCTTTGGCTCTAGAAAATTATAACATGCATTTACTAGAACAAACCATCAATGAATGCTATTCTATTGCTAGAATGCTATGCTATTAATGTGTGATTTGTAGCCTATTGAATATTTTTCCTTTGTATGTTGCTTCGCTCTGCTAGGACCTGTTTCCAAGGAAATATAAGACACCAGGCAATACATTTGGATGTTTACGGGGGATGATGGATAACCACAAGAGTCACGTACCCTGTCAGTCGTGGGCCGGCCAGCATGGCTGGTCCTCTACTTCAACTCAAGGACCCCTCCTTGACACTCTGCCCAGCTCTCAGCATCAACACCTGGGCTCATCGTCTGACCAGAGGCCCTTCTACCAGCACCAGCAGGAGTCAGATCAGAGTTGTATGAGAGACCCCGGCACCATATTATCCGGAAACACCACTCTCCACTCAGCTCTGTACAAAGCCTCTCACATCAGCAGCAATCCGTCATCAAACACGCTGTTTGCCAACACTGCCACCCCGAGTTCCTCTCACATTAATCCCTTTGCCCAGCAAAACCCTCACACCTCATCAATGGTGCTCAGTGCAAACCAAGGAAAAAACATCCTCCTACCATCTCTTCCCCAAACAAACCAATCTCCACAGCCTTGCAGGCCCCAACATCCACCGCTGCATTCCCCCCACGATCTTTACAAAGCACCATTTCAACCTCTATTAACCAATCAGGGTTTACCCGACAGACTTTTGCCCATTAGCCTGCCACCATGTGGACAACATGTAAGTACATCTCAAGCTACTTTTGAAGGAGTGCATGCTGAGTTTGCTGGTGTTGCTGGATACACTCATAGCCATGCTTCATCCATGTCTCAGGAGCAGCGTCAGTGGATACCTTCGTCAAACTGCATGGGTAAGCTTTTTTTGTATTAGCCTTTGTTGTTCTCTAGTACATTTGTCCTATTTTGGAGGAGGGTTAAACATGTTGGGTTGGATTTGTCAAAATATATGTGTTTGGTACTTTAGCTGGTTTTTTGCTTATCCTTGGTATACTGCATTTTAATTAAATAGCCAATTTGAGCCACCAGATTTCTTCTTTATTTAATACCGTTCCTTAACTTAATTTTTGGAATATCTCATGAAACAGATTTGTGAACACCAAACCACATGCTGTATTTTGTTAGCCGAGTGATGGACTGTCGAACGTTGTGTCACCCGTCTCTATCTCTTCTCCAATTCAACACTGTCCTCGTCATCAAAAAGTGAAAATGCTATAAAAAAATAAAAAAAAGATACTGAAAGTAAAGTTTTTGAAAATGCAAAACTTTAAATAGTCTAAAGAGTGGAATTCACTTCCTGATTTGGGACACTGTCGTCACAATCTTTTACCATCTTTCACCAGAGGTCTGGACCATGGAAATTAATTCACAGCAACTTAATTCAGAAAGATGCTTTTCATTTTAAAATATTAGCATGATTTACATTTTGCGTCTTTAAGTTTGGTCAGTATGAATAAAGTAGTGATTCAATTTCACAATTAGGCAATCATTTGTTTAAAAGTTCAAATATTGATTCTCATTATTTTTCTTACATATTTGGCCCCCTATTAATGCAACTGAACTGATGTACAAGGGGTTCGTGGTGATGAGTAATCAGGCAATATGAACAACTGTTTATTAAACAGGACTTTACAAAAAAAAAACACATGTGACCACACTGTAATGTCAGTGCATACTACAGTGCTGTAATACCGGTCATCATACAACTTGCATGTCCTTTCCTCAGGAGCTGTACAGGAGTCAGTCCCTGGCGCTGCTCTTCCAAACAACGTGCCATCGCAAGAGGGAAACATGAGCTCACCGGTGAGGAAATGAACACCGCAAAAATGTATTTGAAAATAAGGTTTTGTTGATTGTTGGTCTTTTTTGTACCCATCTCGACTGTTGTAATGGTTTTCACATGCTTCATGATATCTAGCTGTTTGTTTCTACAAAGGTTGATGGTACACATTGTTAGTTACTAGCGTCTACCAAATAAACGTTGCCCAACTTGCTACCATCATGATATTTACGGTTACAGATATGTGGGGTTTCTTATGAGGACTCATTAGATTGTATCTTTTTTAATTAACGTGTTTTATCTTCTCTTAGGCCAGCTATGAGAGACAACGTTCGGTGCTTTTGCAACAGCGGGCACAACTTCTTCACCAAGTGGCACAGTTGGATAAACTTGTAAGTGTGTTATAGATAAACATTTGGATAGTTGCTACACTGTTCAACTTTTAAAATGATATAATACTTTAAATTGTGAATGGATTTGATTCCTGAAATATAGTTTATAAGAGATACTTCCTGTTGACTTCGCTTTGTCCCCTAATAAAGCTGGAATCCATAAACCCAGAGGAAGGCAGTGGTGGGCAGTCTCCACATGCAGCTATTCAGGTAGTTTGTCTTTTTAGATGTTGCTGTTTTATTTGTTTTATAAAATCTAAATTGTATAATTCTGTGTATTTTTCTTCACTTTTAGCCTCCACCACCAATGGAAAAATCATCTCAATTTGAACAAACTAAGACCAGCGGTGCACAGCAGGTTCAACTGCAGTCAAAGGTAGCCCCACATTAAATATGAACCAATACCAAAGATGCCTTTATTGTACAATAGGCTAAACTTGATTGATAGTAAAGGCTCAACCCCATTACTGTTAAATCTGTTAAATGTCTTCTTTAATTATTTTGTATTTCAGCCGCATATATCAACGGATTGTTCATCGCCTGCATCCCATGAAGAGCCAATGCCATCTAATGCCAAATCAGAGGTAATAACCCATATAAAATGTTTAAAGTAGTATTCAAAAGTTCATCATTTCCATGTTATTTGTCAGGGCAGTAGTAACAGTATGTTTGTGGTATGCGCTGTAAAAATGTGGCTTTTGATATTTCATATTGGGTCAGTTGCGTAATTAACTAACATTTTAGTCTGAAACAATTTTGGTCATTAATTAATTAATTAAAGCCGCAAAAAAAGAAAGAAAACATTATTAGAAAAGAATGACCAGTCATTTCTGGTTCTAGCATGCCAATTGTGAGGATAATGTTTTCCTAATATTATGGTCGATTGAATATCTTTTTATTTTGACTATTCAAAGACATTGCATTGCTTTTTTCCAACTGGACAATCAATACATCTATTAAAGAATCAGCGTTTGCAAATACTTTTAAAAGTCTATATTGCTCAAATAACCAAGAGTGCTGGCCAATTATTTTATTATACAAGCATAGACATATACCAAAAAGTAAGGGGCCCAAATACTTGACAGAAGTGTTCACTCAACTCCCTGTCAAACAAGTTAAGTTGCTTTGACTGCAGTAGACTGGCCCAATAAAATGATAAATATCAATTACATTTGCAATGTACTGTACATTATCAACACTATCAATGTTAACACATGGCATTCTGCCCTTGGTGTTACATTTAGCTACTGGAACTAGCTGTAAGAAAAATTGAATGGAATGACAAAATATAGTAATAAAAGCTAAATACGCTTGAATAAGCTTAATTTTTTGGCCTTCAAACTCTGCTAGTTATGTTTTTTTTTAAGAATATGAAGCTAGCAGGACATATATGACATAATGGACATATATGACATATGTCCTGCTGCGATATTATTTTATACTATAACATATGACATATATCTTGTTAAAGACACTAACATTGAACTTTGAACCTAAGGTCTAGTTCTGAAGCATCAGAGCACAGTATGCGGATAATATAACAAAAAATAATAATATATAGAACCTCTATAAAATGCCAAAATATAAGTAAACAAAATGAGTTTAAAAACAATTCTGATATACTTAGATTTTCTGCATCCACAGATTGTCGATGACCTGATTTCCACTGATTTATTTTCTTCTTTTTTTAATTTCTTTTAAGGAAAATGAGTCAGCTGAGTCAGAGGTTGACAGTGACTCTGATTACTTGCCTGACAGTGATGCTGACTTATTTGATTCCCCATTCCACTCTGAAGGGAGCTCTTCAGATGAATTCAGTCACATCAAACCCTCGACCCCTACAAACCAAAAACCGTCTCTGACAGAAAAAAAAGAAGATGAATCAGAAAGCTCTATGTCCGAGGACAACACTGACAGTGACCCAAAACAGACTCCTGCAATTACTCAGAAAGAAAAGTCTTCTGACACTGTAGTGTTGCCATGTTCAAGTTCTAAAGGAAGACGTGTCTATGACAAAAGGAATTATTGTTTATACTGTGCTAAGCCAGTATTTAAATTGTCACGACATCTTGAAAGGAACCACAGTGACAAAAAAGAAGTCGCAGCTGCATTTCAATACCCCACAAAATCAAAAGAAAGACAAAGGATATGGAACAGAATAACAAATCTAGGAAACTTTGCTCATAATAAGGATGTCTTGAAATCAGGAAAGGGCCAACTTGCTGCCCGAAAAAGGCCGAGCCAAACTAAAAAAGCCAAAGACTTTCTCCATTGCCTTCACTGTCGAGGTCTTTTTCTGAAGAAACCTATGTACAGACACATGAAAGTTTGCCCAGAGAGAGTGAAGAACGAGACTGTGTTTGGAAGAAAGAACATCGCATCTCGGTGTGCACTTCAAACTTTAGGAGACCTTAGCATTACTGATGGTTTTAGGAACATTCTGTCCGATATGATATACGACGATGTGACGCAAACTGCCATGGAAGACGAAGTTCTCTTGCAGTTTGGCGAGCTTATGTTCACTCATCACGGAACTGATCCGAAAAAACACGAGTATATAAGACAATACCTTCGACAGTTAGCAAGACTTGTACTAGAAGCTAAAAAAATCACCCCTCTGGAGAAACTGAAGGACTTTTTTCTCCCTTCGTGCTTCCCACATGTGGTGTCTGCAGTAAACGTTGTGGCAGGCTACAATGCGGAAAACAAAACATACAGCAATCCTTCACTTGCCATCAAGCTTGGCTACCACCTACAGAAGGCTTGTGGTATTGTTGAGGGGAATGCAGTAAAGTCTGGTGATGAGAGATCAGCAGAGTCTGCGAGAAACTTCCTCTCTCTGTACAAGAGAAAATGGAACAAGCATATTTCTGCAGGTGCATTAACAGCCATCAAGAAAACCAAACTGAAAAGAGCAAAGAAGGTGCCGTTTGCTCAAGATGTGATGCGCCTGAATATCCACGTGGAGAATGTTCATCTTCTTGCTGAAAAAAACCTCAGAGAAAGCCCTTGTACAGAAAACTATGCTGCTTTGGCCAATGTAATACTCTCCCGGACAATATTTTTCAACAGGAGAAGTGTTTTAGAGGTATCCTCAGTGGAACTAACAGCTTTTGAGTCGCGTCAAAAGTCAAACTTGCAAGACGGCATGGATATATCCGTTACCGATTTGGAAAGAAAAATGTGCAGGTTCTTTGTCAGAATCAACATACAAGGGAAGTGCGGCAGAACGGTTCCAGTTTTACTCAAACCATCACTTGAGTCAGCTATAGAGCTTCTCGTAAAGGTACGTGAGACATGTGGAGTCCCCAGTCAGAATCCTTACCTGTTTGGCCGACCCAATGCTCTGACTGCCTACGCCGGGGCACAGTGCATCCAGAAATACGTCAAAGAATGTGGCGCTAAAGACCCTGCAGCTCTGACATCCTCAAAGATCCGGAAGCATTACGGGAAAATGCTACAGCTGATGAACCTGAATGAAGATGAGGCCGACCAAATTTTAGGCCCCAACAATCAAGTCCGCAGCCTTGGACAGCAGCTGGATGACGTTGAAATACATTCAGATGGTAGGGTTATTTATTTTAAAGATGATTATGATTCCGATTAATTTAACGTAAATTACATTTTAAATGGAAATATTTCATTGGCACCGGCAAATCTACTCGGAACATAAAGTTCAGAAAAAATACATATACATTTAAAGGAGTCAGTCTGTGGACTATTGTGGTGTCAACAGCCTTTTGTGTTACCTGCAAGTGAATATCGCAAATTATTTTCATCACAGTAATTTGGAGCAAGCCACTTAAAGGTATCGTAATGCCTGTCTATTATGCAGCAGTATTTAAGAATATATGTGATTTGCTGTTTTAATTACTTCTTACTTGATAATAAAAAAATAATCTGGTGGATGTGATGTTTTCAACCTATATCTGAGCAATGTTCAAATCTATAACCTACTAAATATATTTCTAAATCAACCATTGCAATCTACAGTTCTAGAACTAGGAGCATCAACATTTACTTTAGTATAAAAGTGACTTTAAATCACATAAAATCTGGATTATAGCTGAAGCTTGGTTGGAGGAGTTGGTTGCTTTAATGGACTTTGGGAATGGACACAACTGCAAAATGTGTCGATTTGGTATCGTAAGACATTGGTACTATGAACAATTGATGTAATATGACTGAAAACAACACTGAGGAGCTGCACCTTTTGTCTTATTTCTCTGTTAGAAATGTGTGTATTGGTAGTTAATCTTTCTTGTTTTTTCTTCAACACAGAGAGAGGACAACAAGCGGCATCATGGGATTACAATAAGCCTTCCGGTGCAGGCTCTGAACCAACAAGCACCAACGTGACTGTAACTTCAAAATATTTCGAATCAGACAAAAAAGGTAAAATGGTGAACAATCATGATCCGTGATTCTATCAATTAATTGTTTTAATTATTGTTCCTCTTTGGTTTAGAATTTCTTATATAACAAAATAATCAAGGGGGGGTTAAGGCAACATAGTTGAGTTCTTACATATTGTCCATTTCATTGTCCAAGCTTAATTTGTTGTAAAAACTTGACACACAAAACGAAAAAATGGACGGGGAAGACAAATAACATTTATAGAGTTCGTAAGCTTTACGACTAAATGTGGACAAAAGTATGTAGAGTGCTTGTGTGAGAAACCAGTATTTTGTTATTTTGAAGATTTTTCTGGAGTTATTTTGTAATGGTGAAAGTTTACTCATTTCTGTTTTAACCCACAGGCTCCAAAATTAAGGGCAAACATAAATGGGAGGAAGCAGAGGTTCTTGCTGTTGAAAGACACATGATGGGGTTAATTAAAGAGTACAAGGTGCCTCAGAAGGACGAATGTGTTCAGTGTCTGGAAGCTGAGCCAGCACTGAGGACCCGTTCATGGAAAGGTGTAAAGGACTACGTCAGAAACAGGATCACTGCCCTAAAAAGGACCCCAAAACAGTAACTGATCTAGGCAAGTAGAACCACAGCAAAGTATTGAACATTTTCAACCTTTATTTGGTCAATGGCAAAATCAAGCAATTTTTTCCTGTTCCATTTGCTTATCCCTGCCACCCTCTGTTCCTCTTTGTTTTGTATTTGTTCAGTCACCATCGGGGTGTCTTATGTGACATGGTGAGCGTTTACATCGGTTAGGATGACCAAGAATAGATTTACATTTCTATTTTTTCTATTTTTGTTAATTGTAATTCTCTTACTTTGTATCATTACAGGTTGTCATGTGTTCTGTTTCATGTTATTAAGTTCATTTGGAAAGAGACAGATCATGGATATTGACAAATAAGTAATGAGCTGGTTAGTAAGTTAACTTCGGTGACCACCAGGTTATCTTGTATACTGTATTTTGTTATTCTCTTTGGTATGCTGGTATACTGTATTTTGTCAACTTTGCATATCAACCTTCCAATAAACAAAAGTTTATGTGTGAAAAAACAGTTTGTACTCTATTCCACTCACAACATAATACACACAGTATTTTATCGATTTGTCAAATACTGTCAGGCCTACTGTATCTTTGTCCATGTATGTAGAAATGACAATCATATAGGCATTGGTGGAGGAAGAAGTATTCAGAACCACAAAACAAGTGGCTGAAGAAGAAAAGTCACACATTCAAAGTCTTAATAATGTGAAAAGAAATGAGAGTATTAGAAAACACAACACTAAATATTTCCTAAATCAGACATTCATGTTATTGTGGTGCCACAATACATATTTTCTGATTCTTATCAATAATAAAATATTAGCACCATTTTTATGCGGCACAGTAATATATTTACTTTGATGGTTTAAAGGTTTTCTAATATTCCGGTTTTTAGTTCAAATTATGCATTTATTGTAGCCCATGTATTTTACTTTGAAAGGAAACGAGGAAATGGGGTGTTGTGATCCGTGCTAACTTGACGCTAACATTGCAGCAAAGGCTCGGGTTTATGAATGTTGTCTAAATTAATCCTCTCACATTTTCTGGTCATTGAATATAATTGTAATACATTTCACATATGTTAAACTGCTGAAGTGTTTCGCTTCCGTCGCAGAGGGGGAGATGAAGACGCTAACGGTCACGTTAGTAATGTGGACGAACAAGTGCTGCACGCAAAGCCCCTTGTTTCCGCTGATGTCCAAAGGTATCTAATATTTTATTACTTCAAATAACATTGCTCCTTCAGGTCACATATCTTAATTCACCCTGCACATTTAAGGATGCACCTCTGTTATGTGTCAATATTGTTTGCTTACTACAGAAGAACCTCAGTCAATTCCTGTAGTAGGCTAACGTTATTCATATCAACGATTACTTCTCATTAGCAAATCGTTCAACACAGTGGTAGTTTTACAGGGGAAACGTTAGGTACATTTTGTTAGGAAGTTTTCAAAGATGTAACATTATTTCTCAAAATAGCTGCATTTTGCGTGTTTTTGATTAGAAATCTATCTGATTTAGCTAACTGTCAATAAAACATGTTGGCCTCTGAGAAGAGATCCGAGAGTCGCATCACGACGCTGCAGGTTTGTTTTGCCCCGCTAGATCCCGCCTCCAAGGAGTCAAACACCTATCAGTGATGGTAATGAAGGATGATGGACGTCCCCACAGCCAATCAGAGCGATACACCCTGTCAGCCGTGGGCGGGCCAGAACGGTTGGTCCCCAGCTTCACCTCAAGGACCTCCCTGCAACCCTCTGCCCAGCTTTCAGCATCTCAGCCTGAGCTCTCCTTCTGACCAGAGGCCTGGCTACGAGCAGCTGCAGGTGTCCAACCACGGCTACCAGAGCGAACTTGCAACCTTTTCATCCAGAAACAACACAGAACACAGCACGCTTTATGCTAATAATGCTGACCACAGTGTTCAGCGGGTCACTCCTGATGCTCATGCTTCATCCATGGTTCCATCTACAAGCCAAGGAAGATATATACCTCCATGTTCTCTCGCTCTTATGAAGGAAGGGACGCATCCCTGCAAGCCCCAACAAATGCCCTTTTACTCCCCTCACAGCCCTTACCAAGGAATATCTTCCCCTTTACAGCCCCCATACACTCACCATTGTTCATTAAATGGACCTCAGTCACCCCAACAAAAACATTTGCCCATTACCACTTTATCATTTGGTGTAAATCAGAGTCCACAGTTTACACCTCAGCCTGCATTTGAGAGGGCCAATGTGGAATCCTCTGTTGGATACACACACAATCATTCCTCGCCACAGCAGCCTCAGTGGACTCTCACAACAAACTCAAGAGGTATTGTATTGTGGTTGACTTACTAACATGCATGTTGCAAAGCCTCCCTCAGGATCAGATCCTTTAAATTAAATGACTTGCAGAATTACTCACGAACCATTCTTAAATATACAACATGTAGACTAGAAGGAAAAATAAAGTTTGATAATTCACAAGTAGATCCTTATAAACCTGCTGATTAGTCCAATCATCCAGGGTTTACAGTACACCACCATCATACTGATCAATAAATACTGTTTTCTAAAGTCTGAGCTAAAACAGCCTACCTAATTAAGGATATCATTTAATTTAAGAATGACATAACTCCTCTGTTTTCTCCTAAGGGACCACAAACGAGTTTGTTCCCAATGCGGCTGCACAGGACAGGAACATCCCTCCACAGGTAGGGAAAATACAGTCACACCATTAAAACTCTTTAATGAGGTATGAGTGCCAGCTCAATTGAGTATCTGTGGAGACATCTGCAGATTATTGTCTTAAATTAATCTATGTATTATTTGGCCAAGAATCCAAATCCAACAGTTATTCAGTTTACTAATTTTTTTTTTTAATTGGAGACAAACAAACTGAATTCTTCACCCAGAGAAGAGGTGTTCGTCAGGGTTGCAATTTAAGTCCCACTTTATTTAATATATATATAAATGAACTTGCTGTTCAGTTGGATCACTGTGCTGCTCCTGGCCTCTCCCTCCTAGAGAGAGAGGTGAAGTGTCTGCTTTATGCTGATGACCTTGTTCTGCTGTCTCCTACTGAACAAGGACTACAACAACAGCTGGACATAGTAGACCAGTACTGTAAGAACTGGGCCCTGGCAGTCAATATGAAGAAAACTAATGTCATGGTTTTCCAAAAACGCCCCAGATGTCAGGAGAACAAATACCAGTTTACCATAAATAATCATATCATCGAACATAGTATGAGTTACACCTACCTCGGTTTAACCATAACAGCATCAGGAAGTTTCAACATGGCAGTGAATGCACTCAAAGAAAAAGCCAGAAGAGCTCTAAATGCAATTAAGAGAACATTTTATAATGTCCAAATTCCAATTAAAATCTGGCTCAAAATCTTTGATAGTGTGATCCAGCCCATTGCGCTGTACGGTAGTGAAGTATGGGGTCCACTCAGTCACCAGAGCTATACCCGCTGGGACAAACATCCAACAGAGTCTTTACATGCAGAATTCTGCAGATACATTTTACGTGTTCAGAGAAAAACACCAACAAATGCATGTAGAGCAGAATTAGGCAGATACCCACTGATCATTAACACTCAAAAGAGAGCACTGACATTCTTTAACCACCTTAGGTCCAGCCCCCGAGACACCCTCCACTCCAAAGCCCTCCAAAGCCAAGAGCTAACCCCAGAGAAGAGTCCCCTATGTCAGCTGGTGCTGAGGCTAGCTGCCCCCTCTCAGAGCCACTCTGACCAGTCTCTCAACAACACTGCTCTCCAAACACCAATCACAGTCAAACGCATTATAACACAATGTAAAGACAACTATTTACAACATTGGGAAGAAGAAACTAAAAGCCAAAGTAGATTAGAATGTTACCTGGCTCTAAACAGAGAGTATGAGCTGGCAGAGTATCTCTCTACTGTCAGAGATAGAAAGCAGAGACAGATCCTAACCAAGTACAGGCTCAGTGACCACAAACTGGCAATCGAAACAGGAAGACTCAAAAGATCCTGGCAACCAAAAGAGAACAGAACATGTGGTCACTGTACGACAGGTGAGACTGAGACAGAGATGCACTTCCTCCTGAAGTGCCAAACATTCAACGAAGTAAGGAGCATTTACTGGAACAAGTTGAACTCTGTAATCCCAGGTTTCAAGGAGGTTGATGACCTCTCAAGACTGAGAGTACTCCTAGGAGAAGGAGACAAGGCACACCTTGCTGCCCAATATGTATACACATGCCACAACCTGAGGGACAGTGAATGAGACACACACACACACACA